ACACACACACACACACACACACGCGCGCGCGCGCAGGCACACACGCGCACACACACGTAGGCTTACAATCACATGCATAATATAAATGAGCAGCAATATAAACAATAATAATCGTAAGCTAGATACACACTCAGTGTTATTCTGATGCATGCTCTAAGGTCGTAAGTATACTTATATAAGATGGTTAAGATGGAAGCATTTTGATAGACGATGACCTTCTATATCGTTCTTTGTTACAGATCAGAAGCCTCGGTCTTTTACTTCTGACTGATGTTTTTATTTGAGGGAACAAAGGATGTTTGTTGGCTAAAAAGATGGAATTATTTTTTTAGTGCAAGCTGTTATGTACAATTCATCCAAGTAGGGGAATGTAGATGTTGGAATTTTACATGCTTTCTGCATTAGTCCATTTACTTTTTCTTTATTTTGTTGTCTGTGTTCCCGGCCCATGCTGTTATACAAAAATTGATCATACTTTCTATGGTGGAATGGTAGAACATGGACATCAATGTTTTATCAACTTTAAAATACTTTAACTTCCTTAGAAAAAATAGTTTTTTGTTCACTTTATGTTGCAGGAGAGAAGTGTGGACACGCCAGTTGAGTTTGTTGTCTATTGTAACACCCAAATACTTATAGTCTGAAATGTTTTCACATTTAATTTCGAGTGGCTGCAGGGGCAGTTTCTTTATTGTAAAATCAACAACAAGTTCTTTTGGGTTTTTTCACATTTAAAAGCAGCTGCTGTACAAAATTCCGGTAAGCAGTTTCGTTATGGTCAGCCTGAATTAGTCCAATTGTGGTTGAATCATCTGCAAATTTTATCAACTTGATGTTACTATAGCTTACTTGGCAATCGTTCGTGTATAGTGTGAATAAAACTGGTGATAAAACACATCCTTGAGGGACCCCTGTATTTATAATGATGTATGTCGATGAAGAATGTTTTAATTTTACATACTGGGTTCGTTGGTAAGAAAATTGCCTATCCATGATATTAAATTGACGTTAACACCTATGTTTTCTAATTTCTTTAAAAGGATAGGTGGCTGGATAGTATTAAAATTAAAGGCTGACGAAAAGTCAACAAACAGGATCCTACAGTATGTTTTTGGCTTGTCTAAGTATCTATATATGTTGTCAAGAAATAATAAAATGGCGTCTTCCACACATCCCCGTGACGATATGCGAATTGTAGAGGGTCCTGGATGGGTTCTATGTACGTTTGTAGTCTTTTTAGCACAATTTTTTCTAACATTCAATAACTACGGATGTTAAGGCTATTGGCCTCAGATCATTCATTTCAGTAATTTTTTCTTTCTTTGGAAGGGGGGACGATTTCAGAACATTTCCAAATAGTGGGAATAGCATGTGTCAACAACGAATGGTTGATAATATAGGTGTAAATAAAACTAAGTTGTGCTGAACACATTTTCAGAATTTTGGGTTGCACACCGTCTGGACCACACGCCTTTCTCGCATTCACACGTCCAAACACACATCTAACCTCACGTTCTTCAACAACAACCGCATTATTTTCATTTGTGTCGGTGTTCACACACATGGCAAGTCACACGGACTGCCTTTGTCAAAACGGGAGAAAAAGGCATAATTTAGTTTATTTGCATACTCTTCGTTGTCAACACATATGTTTGTTGTTTATTTTTGTAGCCCACTATGGTCTTAAGCCCAGTCCATGTCTCCCGAGAGTTATTTGAACGAAACAGATCTTCCAGATTCTTTTTATATTTTTGTTCTTCAACCCAGAATACTTTCTTAATAGCTTTGTCTAGGATTTTTAGTTCTGTTCTAAAAATGCTCTTTTGAGAAAATAGAACAAAAGTTTTTGAATTCTTGTACAGTTCTTCAAAGACAATGAGAGTTTTCTCTTTGACCAAACAAATATACACACCAATGAAACCAAACTTCTCCTATACGTAGGGTAATGCCCACTTTTGATGTAGGTAAAAATTTCTGGAATTCCCCGAAATCTGGGTTAGCCCGTTTGTCCTTCAAAGCGACCATATGTAGACCTACATCCCATTAACTCTTTCACTCCTGAGTCGTAAACGCTTATAATGTCCTGATCGAATACACCCATTAGAAAGGGCGAACTATATCATGTTCACAGATCTCTGCTCTTTAGAAATTGAGGAATATGCTTACACCTGGAACACCTCCTCACTTTTTTATTGTGACCCTTCCATCCCTGCCCTAAATCACAACAGAGGCTGCTTAGTTTTGATGACAAGTGCTTTGTTCAGCAGCAAAGAGGTTAAGGATTCAACATCCGGATCATCCGCATAATAAGACAAGACAAGACAAGATAAGATATTATGATAAGATAAACTTTATTGGTCTACAAGGGAAATATACCTTTAGTGAACATCAACATACATTTGTGAGGCAGGGTGGTGGAATCAGGCTCTCGTCAATTTTTGGGCATGTAGAGTTATTGGTATCATCTTAAAGCTTGTTCATTTATTTATGAA